TCCCTTGGGCATCACCCGAGGATGCTCCAGCCACGGCACACGTCCTGCAGGAGGAAAGCGAGTAAAGCCCATGCGTGGCGGCTGCTGTGGGCAGGTGCTCATGCGTTGGGTCTGTGATGGACGGGTACAGGGTAGTGCAGGCGTCGAGGGTTAATGCTCCCCGATAACGCTGGCTGGGAATTCTGCCGGGGAGACTGCTTGGCTGTCGGGAAAGATCACAAGAAAGAGGTGGACAGGACACAGCTTTTCTTCTGAATAAAAAAAAAAAAAAAAAGTTTAGAGAAAGGATGTGAAACAGCTTAGACGTCTTTTCAATGTTATTGAAATGTGAAAGTACTGTTTTACAGTTTGAGGGTGGTATTTATTTGTTATCTTCACTTGAGACAATTCGCCCTGCCCCTCTCCAAGTCCAAGTCTCCAAAATTCTCAGAGGATGTGGAAAATGCTTTCCACCCAGTCTTTTAAAAATCCCCTCTGCTGGGGATACAAATGTGATCCTGACAGAGCTGCTGAAAGCTCTCCTTTAAGTCAGTTTTATGACTGAGGGCCTCAGCACCTTATCTACACATTGACCTGTTCCCCCCATCCATGGTGTGATCCACCAGCATCCCCTTAGTTAGGCATCATCCTTCTGCAATCTGCTTGTGCTTTCTCTCCAGACATTTCCTCCCTGCACATCAAGAACAAATATGTCTTCTTCCAGGGCGTAGTGATGCTGCTGAATTCTGCTGTAGCCTCACCCTGTGCACGGCCACACTGTGCTTCCACTGTGCCTGAGTTCACTTCAAAATCAGGAACGGGGGAGGAGATAGAGACAAGTGTCAAGTCAGGAAGGACTTTGCCCCAGACATGCCACTTCAGATCCATAGGAGAACCAGAGTCCTTAGTCCAAGGCACTAAGGCCTTGATGACCTTGACTCACCTACCTTGGGGCCCCCAAATACACACCCTGCCCGTGGGGCAGAAGTGGCATCTCAACTGAGCCCCGAGGCCTTCAGTCCCTGACAAACTGTTGCAGCTGTTCCTCTCTCCAGCCCCATCTCCTGAGTGAACCTTGGGCCTGTGTTTCCAGTTCTGTTCCTCACACCATCTCCCGCTGCTGCTGCCTGGACTCCCTGGGTGGACCTTGTACCTGGTTCATCACCTGTCCTCATCTGGGTGTGTCAGTGGGTCCAACCACTAGTGCCTCCTCTGCCCACCCTCCTCAGGTGCTGCAGAACTCTGCCCAGGCTGGCGAGAGCCAACACCTTGGCTCCAGCCACCCTCAGCTTATCTTCCCGTGCTACAGTCCCACTGTGCCACTCCCTGAGGCTATGGCAGAATCATTGCCCAGAAAACTGGCGGCAGCCGGACACCAGCCAGAAGAAAGCCATCAGGTAAAAGCCAGAAATAGAGGCATTAGTGTGGATAGGGAAGGAGTAAGCATGTCTTTCTTGGTGAGGAAGGTGGTGCTAGAAAGAACTTATTTTTGTTTCCTTGTCTCTTGGCTGACCTATCAGCAGAGGAGCTGAACTAGTAGTGCTCAGCCAACACTGAGTACAGAAAACAGTGAATGTGAGTGGCTTTGTGGAAGTATTGCTGCAGCTGCTTGCTGTGTGGGCTTTTCCTGTTGTATTCCTGCATGAGCAAATGGCAGTGACTGGTACTGTCTCTGCAGCTGGGCAAAGTGGGCTGTCTAGGCAGAGAAACTAAGGCCTCCAAGCCAAAGTCAGTACAGCTTCTCTTCTTTCCCTTTCGCAGTAAGGGCAGAGAGGGAAAATAGGCTGAGGAGAAACTGAGGTCCTGGGTGGGGACTGAGAAAAAACTGAAGAGGTTCACTTGGTTCTCTGGGCATTGTCAGAGAAATTCCAGATATGATTTGGTACATGGCAGAAGCAAAACTAAAGGTATGTGTCCTCTGACAAGACCTGTTATATGGGATGGTTTTACTAGCTGATCTAATGCAGAGTTGGAAGGTGAGCCTACAGAATGGAAAAATGCAGAAGCTGCTTGAAATAAACTTATTTGTAATGACAGATCGATTTATTCAGATAGCTATTTAATATTTGATGATATACCAGCAAGCCAAGTCTTGGTGAGTGAAACAGAGTTGTTTTACACAACCGTAATGCAACTGTGTTATGGCAATGTGGTCTTTTTGTTGTTTTCTTTTCCTCCCCCGCCGCCCAGCCTTTTTTTT